AGAGAGAGAGAGAGAGAGAGAGAGAGAGAGAGAGAGAGAGAGAGAGAGAGAGAGAGAGAGAGATCATGTTTCCCTAACGACCCGCGCTGCCACAATTTGACATCCTCTGTACAGAGTTTTCAAGCGCTCATGGATGTCAAGTCCTTTCCTGCAATATTCACATTTTTTTTCCGCTCCATGATGGTCCGCGTTCAGTAACACCGGTCCCATTATCTCTTTGATATATGAAATTATATGAGAAAAACAGTTCGCGACCAGCCTGACCATTTGTCGAGAGTTTGCGTCAACAACGAAATTTTCAAAAATTTGCGTCGGCATAGGCAGTACAGAAGATTCTGGTCAGGCCGAAGGTGCTTTGCTGGCAAGCACGCAGGGGAAGTTGTGACGCACGTGGTGAGATTTCAGTGCGGCAACATCACTGCACGCCAACAGGACGTGTGGCGCAGATGCATCCTTCCCAAGAGTAGCCCCATTTCCCGAACACACTCCGATTGGTCTGTAAGCTTCTTCTCTTCCCTTCTTCGTTTCACCTTCTCTACATCCCATAACATCTCCTTCCATACATGTCACCGTCAGTTCTCTAGCCAACAGCCTGCCTCGAGTGTGTTGCAGGGCATCCATTACATCTTCGCAACTGCTCAGCAGAGACGCGATTTTTGCAGGAAGCTCGTCATTAACAGACCCGACACCCACTTTACTCAGACCGTACTCCTCGACGGTTTCCGTACAGTGGCGAATGCAGTCCTCGGCGAAGGCTAAGAGGTCAACGACGCTGCGTGCTGTCGTAGGTAGCCAACCTATGTTGTAATCTTGGCTATTGTACGATGCCCACCCCTCCTTCAGCACACACTTTCCGCAGCTGGCAAGACACACGACATCCCCTCCGTCCGACTCCCCGTTTGTTGTCTTCGTGACGTGGGCGGAGAAACGCTTCAAGATTGCGGTGCGCCTTTCCCTTTCAATATCCAGCCATGCCTGAAACTCGTCGAACGTGGTGTCCTTCGTTTCAGCAATTGCCTGAAGTCTGGCTGACATGTCCTCCCTCAGACGAGTAACGTCTATATCTTTCATGTTGTCAAGCAACAACCAGAACACGGTGAACATCCTATGCTCCGCAGTTTCTGTCATTTCGTCGAGGAGCTACTTGAGGCGGCGTAGTTCCTCTGACATCTCTCTAAGCAGTACTTTTTGCTTATGCACCTCCTCTGTTAGCCTGCCTATATGTTCTCGGTCGCTAACTACAGTCCGACCCCAATTTCGATCCGTTTCATGTGTCTTATGGTCCTTGCCGCGTGGGGGAAGGAACTCATCCATCCTTGCATGACACTCTCCGCCCAACTTTCTTTTCTGTCCGGTCGTGGTGAACCTTGACATCTGGAAAGCATTGTAT